GTTGGGAACCACTGGTATAGCTCACTCCAAAACAAATCATATAAATGTAACGGTATTCAGAACAGAACAAGAATGAAATAAAAATATATAAACCAAAACAAAGCGAAACTGAAAGTACCAGTCGTTAATTGGGCTCACGTAGGCTACCTCTCATTCGGCACAAATCCTAATGTTTCCATATTTGCGATGTATTTGAATGAAACTATTATTTATAATGTAGAGGCTTTGTACTTCACGCGCGTTCGTATATCGACAGAAATATCATCTTCACATGAGCAAAAATGTGCTTGGCATACGAGCGCGCGCACGAGGCGCCGGCGCGATCGAACAGATAAAACACAAAATAGCCTACATAATTTTTGGTTATACAGATAAGAGTAAGACATAATTCGAAAGCACAAAGTGTTTACTTTTATTTTTGCACACTCAAAATAACAACAGAACTTTTGTGATTTTGTAAAATAAAGCAAGGATGTGTGTTTAATTAAAACTGTTACTTAAGTCAGATATTTTTTGCGTATCTATACCTATACTGTGATTTAATTTTATTTTTATGAAAATAAATTTTGTTATTTTTAATGTATCTTAGATATACATTTTCCTAAAATCATCCTGGCAACCCATTTTTGACCCAGGGTTTGAAGCTGTGCCCTAGTTCATTTACAAATTAAGCACCGATTGTAACCATAAGACTATTGATATGCAGTGCGATTATCATGAAAGGTCTGCTTACATGTGTACATCTTTGTATTATTTTTTGTATTTTTATAGTATATATACAGTATTATATTCATAAGTGCCTGTCTTGGACTATAAAAATACATTAAAAATGTATTTCATGATAGCAATGCAGGGGATTCTATATCACTATAAATCTTCATCTCTTTTTTCAGATGGAAGACACACAGATGGCATCCATGTACTCTGGTCCCAGATTCTGTTCAGCAGGGAATGACGGGAGCCAGTGAATCGTGTGGTAAAGGATTAGAGATGCGAGGTAAGAGAAGTTTGCTCTATGTGAAAGAGTGGGTTCTCATGGTACACTAAATAGCCACCTGTTGTTGCTCTCCGTCTGAGATATGCGCATCACTGTGGACGTATATGGCTGTGTTCATGGCTTTGAGCTCTGGTTTGTTCATTGGCACTGTACAGTGTGTGAAGTGTGAATGCAGCATGCTGCAACCCCCGGTGTGATTATGACAGAATGGAAGTGAAAGATGTCAAACATCACAGACAATGAAATGGAACAGTCTGCCTTAAGGGCACAGGTGACATGCTTTGGGGGGAAAAAAGCGTGTGAAGTCACATTACCATACTTTTTGATTTACAGGGCTGTTTCTGTATATGCTTTTATTCTGTAATTTTCACTGTAAAAAATTTTTTTTCGAAGCTGTAAATAAAACAGAGATTATTTGAATACGTTTTACAAGAAAATACTATTTCAGTCTTTCTACTTTAAAGTTTCATGTTTAATTCAATGTGTTTAACACCATTTTTTTTGTGTGTAAACATATTCTGTGTAGAAATATCAACATATTCTGACATTTTTGTGCAAATGTCAGTATTATTCCAGATATTAACTGGATTCATTTGAGTACAGTTTTTGATTAACTATATGTCATCACAGTTGAATGTGATTTTCTTTTAGAAATGTTGAAAAATACTCAAATAATATTTATTTATTACTTATTTAATATTTCCATTCAAATAGTTTGAAATATGATGAGTTTTTGATTTATATGAAAATATCTGTATTCTTTTTTGAATATACATGTTAAACATTTTATATATATATATTATATATATATTTGATAATGGCGTATTGTAGTTATTATAAAGTGTATGTAAAAGAGAGAGCTCAAAATTGGAAGCCTATCAAAATTATTTAATAAATAGATTTTTCGAACATCTTCAATAATATTCAAACATTCCGTATTTTTCACAGAAACCTTGAATTTATTGAGATCCAATTAAACTAAATGATTGTGTCCAGAAGTTATTACGTTTAGACACAATGTAATGTGACATTTTAGTGACCTTCCCCGGTTTTTCAGAATATCATATTGGTACAGTGGAAGAAAGCTGACATTTTTGTGCCGAGTCAAAGGTCAGTATTATTCCAGATATTGAGTGCATTCATTAAAATTAATGAGGCCATTCATTGGAAATAATAAGTCTGTGTAAATGTTATCCTGCAATGGAAGATTCAAATAGCCAGCAGTAAGTAGCCCCCATAGCAAGGTTAGGATACGGGTTATGTGAAGATGGACTGCAGTGAGCACTTGCCTGTGTGCAGATTGAATTTCATGGTTTATTTAAACCAGCACTTGACATACTGTTGACCTCCCCTTGGATCTCACTGCATGAGGGCATAAATTAAAGTAAACAATAAATCTCGGCTAATTTACAAATGTTCACTGATTCGTTCCTGCTTTTTATTCTACCAGAACTAACTGCGAGTACCGCCACCGCAACTGCCATAAGCTCTTGTTTTAGCTTAGCCAAGTGATTAATTAATTACGCAGGTTGTTTATGTACCCGGATGATTTATTGTTGTATTTTAGGCAAGCATCCCCGGCTGGTGTAATTTGATTATGCTTGGCGTACTCAGGTGGAGTGGTAGCTTGAGACAGGCTCACCGCCACACAGATGCAAATGAGCCAGCAGCAGAGTCCTGCTGTGTTTGAGAACACTTGCTCTATCAGCATCCTCCAAAATAAATAACAGGGCTAGAAGGCAATGTAGTAAATGACACTAAATGAACCAGAAAGACAGACACCTCTGCAAAACTAATGCAAACCTCACATGTATTGTGCTTTCACAGATAGTTTTACAACGACAGAGTAACCACAAGTCATTAGATTTCAGTGAGAGTTGGAGATGTGAGGTGATATGAGTGACTGCATCCGTTGGTGATCATGTGAGCACCAGTGTCGCTCTCTCATTGGTAGTCTGGTCTGATCTCATTACCCTTGGCGTATAATGTTAACATGTATGTTTTTGTAAATTTGGACATATGCATATGATGTATTGACAGCATCTATAATATATGCACAGCTTTAGAAACTAAAAAGGTAAAAAAAAAAATGTTAATAGTTACAGTTTACTATTATTTTTGGAGCCATCCATACCCTAAACCTAACCACCATATAAAAAATAAGCTATATAAAAAATGTAACAGGCAAATATATATATATATATATATATATATATCATTTGGACCAATCAGACACACAATTTTTCAGAATTCAAAGATTTAACAAATCAATTATTCATTCGATTAACAAATAATCAGACCCCTCATCCAATAAACATGCTGGGTGCCAGCATTTCTGTGAATGATCCCAGGCCCCTGGTTACCATGGCAACCAGGACACCTCAGCCAGATCAGATAAACTGAGCAAAGTTCCTTGATTATTACACCGGAATGAGAGTATAATTCCTAGCCATATCGGCCTAGAAAATAGCAACTTTTCATTTTCCGTCGATGTACACGATGTAACTACAGAAGAGTCAAGTTTTAAATAGGAAAAATATCGAAACTCTTTGGTCATTTTTGAGCGAGATGCTAACGGTCTAATCAGATTCAATGATCTATGCTAAGCTACAGCTAAAAGTGCTACCGCCAGACCCGGAGATCGGCTGAATGGATTTGAAAACGGTAAAACTCAACAGTTTAACTCTAGGGGAGTTGGAAAATGAGCCTATTTTCAAAAATAGTGGAGTGTTCCTTTAAGTCAATATTCTATGAACCTAAGAGGATGCATGTAATGCATTTGTAAGCATGTATGTAAGGTGATTCATATAACTGAAGTTTTAGATGCTGTTCTTGATCAAAACTTTACATTTAAATCCCTGTGATCACTAGTGAAATCGTGCTGGAGGGTGGAATTATGTCATTGTTTGTATAAAGTTAAACTCTACTCACCTTTGTCCCACTGCCAGCAGTCACTGTCATTCATATCGCCTCAAATCACCAACTGTCATCGAAAATGTATGACTGAATTTCAGTGTAGGCAGGAACGCTCACGTTGACAGCGCTTAACACTTTGGAGGTCACCAAGTCACTGTAAAGTTGGTTGCTAGTATGTGTCCTTGCACAGTGAACCCCCTACCAGCAACAAACAGTACAACGAACACTCCTGTCATAGTCTACAAAACCTTCTGCACATGCAGAAATCTGTATTATCAGATGGGTTGTATTTTCCATTATAGCATGTCAATGACTGGAGTATTTTTGGATTTGCTCTGGTAAATTTTAGCTGGCAGAAATTTGCATCACATTCAGTGTAAGTACTATTAGTGTGAATTTTTGCAGCCAGTGATCAACGCTTTGTCGTTTCACTTTTGGTTTTAAAAAGCTGCTTGTATTTAAAAAAAAAAAAAATTTGAGCAAGGGTTTTTTTCAGTTGGGGATCTTATTTTGCACATTTTGAATTGAGCAACTCTTTGGTATCCACTAAATCATGTTGGGGGTATTTAAGAAGGCACATATATTGATTATACTACACATGCTAATCTTCGTCTCACATTATGGATTAAAATGTCTTAGTTAATCAGTTCCCATTATTATTGGGTGGCTATGGGAGTGTTTCTCACAGTGCCTGTTGGTGTTGTGAAGAGCTTCTGTAGTCATTTAATTGGGCTTAGATTCCTACATATCAAGACCTTAGTTTTAGGAGCACATGAAAGGGTTACTCTAATGAAAAGAGTCGTCTTCGGGGGGGTGCGTTAATGAGTACTGAGGAGCTTAGCTGGCAAGTCTGACAGAGTCTTTTTAAGGGCCAACAAAAGTTCTCTTCCGTGTCCTTTTTGGCGCTTTTCCACTGCGTGGTACGACTCGGCTCGGTACCGCTCAGTACGGCACGGCACGGTTCGGCTCGGCACGGTTTGCGTTTCCACTGCAGTTCAGTACCGCTTTAGAGTGGGCGGGATTATTCACATGTCGTTATAGTTGTGCCGCCTCTACTACCACGACTCCTAAAAAAAAACGTTTTCATTCCGCGTCGCCCCATCAAGCTCTCGCTGAACATATTACTGCCTTGGATATTTTAACTTCACTAATCCACCTTATTGCCATAATTATTGCAAACATTTCTCCAGTAAACACTGATAAACAAGGCTGTGCGGATTTAAATCTAGCGGTTCTTTTGTGTTTGTGTCGCAAGTTCACGATTCTCTCCGGCCAATCCGTGATCAGCAGAGTTTACACGTCACGTTTTGGTAACGGTACGGTTCACTTGGAACCCCAACCGAGGTGATACTAAAAAAAGTACCAGGTACCAGGTACTGTACCCAGTGGAAAACCCCCAAAAAGTGAACCGTACCGAGCCGTACCGTGCCATACCATGCAGTGGAAAAGCGCCATTTGAGTAGTCAGCAAACACTGTCACCTTTGTAAGTGGCTGCATTATTAAGTTGATCCCTGTCATGAGCCGAGATAAGAATAAAATGTTAACAATAGGTGGAGGAGATAAACTGAAAGAGAGGGGTATAGGGATGGAGGAGAGAGGGGAAATAATTGTGCTAAAAATGGGCAGCCTGGGCGCTCCAATCAGAATGTCACTACTGTCAACCTTTCTGTCTCTGGGGCACAGTGGGAACCGGGAACGCATGTGAAGAAGAAGAAAAGGAAGCTAGTAGACACAGAGTAGGAGGGAGAAACTGATGTCTATCCTGGCAGGCATATGAAATTCTAAAGATTAGGGGAAAAAATAATCTCATATGAAAACTCATATTTAACATTTGAATCTGAAGGGCAAAATGCTCAGAATCAATATTCAGTCCTGTGCACAATGCCATTTTAGGACATAATATGCTACACAGTTCTGTTGATTCTGATTGGTCTATCGTATCATTCAATGTTTTTAATGACCACTAGTCACTTTATTATAATATAATAATTTGAGCTCAAATTGGTATGTTATATAGCCTACCATTCAAATGTTTGGGATTGGTGGGATTTTCTAAATGTGTTTTGAAAGAAGTCTCTTTAATGCTCACCAATAATGCATTTATTTGATCAAAAATACAGTAAAAACCGTAATATTGTGAATATTATTACAATTGAATATGTTTTCTATTTTCATGTTTTTTAAAATGTAATTTATTCCTGTGATGGCAAAGCTGAATTCTCAACAGTCATTACTCATTTCTCCGGTCTTCAGTGTCACACGAAAATTCAGAAATCATTCTAATATGCTGATTTGGTTCTCAAGAAACGTGTCTATTTATTATCAATGTTGAATAATGTCCCTTATGTGCATATACTGTAGCTAACAAACAGCGGGCCAGTGCAAAAATACAGATAAAATGCCTTTGCAATCCTAATCTGAATATGTAATTTTTATGACTGTAGAAGCACGAAAGCAAACTGATGTTTTATTAAAACACCATCCCACGTCTATATACTATCTCCACCCACGTTACTCTGAAGTGGAGAGAGCAAACAGTTTGGTCAGAGAGCAACATTTGAAATTTAAATAGGAATCAATAAGATGTGTTAAAGGCATATGTTTACATGTATGCCTCTTCAAAGACATCAGAGGGTCACTTTCTGAGATAACAGCATCACATTGCCCTAGGGAAGGTGCCGCATGCCCATGCGGATGTTAGTCAAATGTGATTTCGGGCTCTTGAAATGGCACTTCAACATGCACAGGGTCTTTGTTCTGTATTCTAAACTCTATATTGATCCCTCTCTTCTGTGTTCAGAGAATGTCTGGCACAAATCTGCAAGGGTTGGAATTTTATTTCCTACAGATCTGAGTCAATGCATTATTAATTATCAAGGTGGCACATGCAGTGGAGAGTGAACACCTACTAAACACTGACAAAAAAACGTTGGGCTTGGAGACTCACTGTAGCTGAAATAACAGAATTTCATCTGTGTGCACAATAAAGTGCAAATGTCATATATATATATATATATATATATTTGACATTTGCACTTTATTGTGCACACATTATATATAGTTACTCTTTTTGAAGCAAGCTGGTGAAATAAATGAAAAAGTCTATATCTGTATTATTTGCTTTGTGTTATTTCTTGTTGTTTTTTTTGTTTTTTTTACACTGACAAAGAACTATGGAAGAGGTACTGTTGTTCAGTCATGGTATCAGACAGTAAAATATTGTACTTCAAAGAGGACCATGGCACATGTCCAAGAAAAGATAATATTGTTATGGAACCACACCCACATGGTAACACCATGGTACTTTTTCTAAATGCATTTAGTATTAATCTTATTACACTGTTTTTAAAGGGCGAACTAAACTGAATATATTCTGCTCGAATTATTAAATGATTGCCATTTATTTTATTAATTAATGTATTTATTTTCTTTTATTAAATGATTGTAAAAAAAAAATATATATATATATATATATATATAAATGTACTGTACATTGTAATATAAAATTATTATAAAAAGTTTTATGGTATTAATATAAACAAGAATTTTCCCTATACATCCAAAAGTGTATTGGTTAACAAAATCACTATAACGCTGCCACACTCAGACTTTTTTGCCGCTAGCTCATCCAGCTATAGACTAGCATACAGGACTTCTGTCTTGGAAATATAAAGTTTTAATTAGAAGAGAGAAACTTTTTTAATGAGCTCAAGAGCATGAGAAATCTTAACAAATTACCATTGTGAGAGGTGAGAAATTAAAATTTGGCAGTTTAGTGACAACGTTTACCTTACCTTAATTTGTTTCTTTGTCTGCATCTGTCCACCACATTCCTTTAATCCTTTCTGAATGAAATGTTGGTATCCTCAGTTTGCATGTTTAAGGTACAAAACACTTGATTAATTGAGATTTTCACAGTATGGTTAAATGCATTTGTGTTCATCAGTCTGTATGGATGATGTGTTTGGTTAATTTGTAATAGAACTTCTAGACACCTTGTCAGTAGTCACTAGATCACTGGTGAGGAATACAAATACAGACAGCATCTGAGGATCTCTTTGAAAGTTTTTTTTTTTTTTAAAGAAGTTATTACTTTTATTTAGCAGGGATGCATTATATTGATCAAAAGTGACAGTAAAAACATTTTTTGATGTTATAGAATTTAGTTCAAATAAATGCTGTTCTTCTAAACTTTCTATTCATCAAAGAATCCCGAAAACGTATCACAGTTTTCACATTAAATCATTAAGAAGCACAGTTGTTTTTAACATTAATAATAATAAGAAATGCTTCTTAAACAGCAAATCAGTATATGAGAATGATTTCTGAAAAATCATGTGACACTGAAGACTGGAGTAATGATGCGGAAAATTCAACTGCCATCACAGAAATAAATTACATTTTAAAATATATTTCAAAGTTATCTTAAAGTGTAAAAATATTTCACAATATTACTGTTTTTACTGTATTTTTGGTCAAATAAATGAAGCCTTGGTGAGCACAAGAGACTTTTACGAGCCCAAACTTTTGAACGGTAGTGTATAAATAAAATGCATATCATGCAGTGATGATTGTATTCAGTTGAATTTGCATTGTCATGTATATTAAACTTAGTTACAAAAACAAAAGTTTGTTTGAGATCATCTTAGTAATGCTATTGATAAAATATGGTCAATAAAATGTGTGTAAACATGTGACCCCCTATCAGTGGAGTTATGTTAATGCAGTTACTTGGCAATGAAAATAGTCTACGTACATACTATATACATTATAATTCAAATAATTTAATTATAATTATGCATTTTTTAACATATTGTCAGACTCTGTTTCATGTTTCGTGTGTGTCCTGCTCCCCATGTGCCTTCCCATGCCCTTATTTGGTTTGTTTCCTGTTCCTCCCCTGATTAATTAAGTTGATTTCTTCCCAGGTGTTTCCCTTGATGTGTCATGGCTCCCAGGTGTGTCTCGTCATCCCCTCCTCCTGTGTGTGTGTATATAAAGTGTTCCTAGTTCTCTGTCCGATGTTGAAGGTCTTCGTGTGAACGTCTTCCTGTGTTCGTCTCCCTTGGTTCCTTGGTGCAAATAAAGTCCTGTTAAAAGTATTCTCCAGCGTCTCCTCGTCCCTCGTGTGTGTGTCACCCGTGACACATATACAGTATTGCTATTGCCACAATTAAATCAACTTCTGTTTTTTCTATGTTAAATTATGTGTAATGTCTTGGTCGTTGGAGCAATTAATGTTATTTTAGTTGTTCTTCATTGATATTCTGTGTAAACATTGTGAGCTCGACCAATAATAAGACCTGCTATTTAGTCTGAAAAGTTTCCTTCAAGTGCCATCGTTACAGCTAGCTATGTGTTAACTGTCCTCCCATGAAAAGCCTCTGCTAAGTGGAAGCAAACCATGCTGTGGAGGACTCTGTCAAAACATGTCATCACGTAAGGCAGAGTGGCAAATTTAAGTCAGTGAGCGAAAAGTCCTCAGCACAATCTCTGCTGTCTGCAAGGAAAGCATCACATTGTGGGCGGAATGGATGCAGTGTGCTGAAAAGGTAACAGGCGGCTTCACATTTGCAGAGCATATCATTTATCGTCCCTCAGTGGCGGTGATGCAGAGAAGGACTATTTTCAAATCAGAGCAGAAGAAGAAAGAGTTAAGGTGAAAAGGATTTTAGTGTCCATACCATGTGCAGTTCAGCTGTGAATACATTTCCACATTAATGCCCAAGGAATTGTCATGTCACATATTTTCTGTCCATAAATGAGGCTGATTGGATTGGTGTTGACTGAAGTGTAGAATGACTTACCGTGTAAGCAATGTTTATTACATTTTTTAAGTAAACATCAATAACTGCAAATGTGCTGTTGTATTAAAGATGTGTTTGATTGTGTGTCCTCGCAGGAGTGAGTTGTGTGGACGAGTATGATGAGATGGCAGCTGTGTCAGAGTGTCTCCGGTGGGCCGGGCCGATGCCGTCACGCTTCAGGAGCTGCTGGGTGCCATGCAGGGATGACTGCACCTTCAGTTCCTGGTCTAAATTCTCTGAATGCTCTGGCTGTGGAAGCCGACGTACCCGCAAACGCACACTAACAGGTGAGATCCACTGAGAGAACACAAAGCTGATTCACAAAGTTGTGAATAATGTAACATTTATTATGATAGCTCCACACCTTATGTGCTAATTACAAGCTGTGTAACTCCTGGTTGATTCAAGAGGCTGTAACTTTAGCTTTATCTAGACTGAGTTCTCTTTTGCAGCTTGTTTTGCTTGAACAGTCAAATACACAAAAATATGTCTGTCTTGGTGAGAATTTATATAAACAGAATCGGTGAGAATTTATATAAACAGAATCAGTTATATCCTAAGTAAGTGTAAACTGTTGGGGGGAAAAAAAATTATATAATTTATCAATATATTTGAACCGTGGATTGGATCTTAAAGTGACAGCAGCCTAATATTCCTGCTGCAAAAATAACTGAATTATAATATGTATTTCTTTGTCATGAAATGAAATTACTTGTGTCATGAAAAGATTTTGGTCAAATTACCCACCCCATTATGGAGAACTAAACAAATAAACATTTTACAAATAAATGTCAAAAAGTGTACTTAGAAACATGTACATAGACATGTTCTGATGAGACATTTTCCAATGACAACATATTTATGCTTTCACTATTTGTGAATTATTGTATTTATTATTCCCATATTTATTTATTTATTTCCTCTATATTTTTTACACACTTGTTTCATTTATATTTTATGGATGTTTAAATAAATGTTTGTATAAATAAAAAATGTATGTAGAAAATAATGTAGAAAAAAATAAATACAATAATACATGAATAAGGAAGTAAAACTATAAAAGTAGAAATTTATAGTATAAATTAGAATTATAGTATAGAGTAATTTTAGCTCAAATCAGTCCCACACCACACTCACACCACTGGTTGAGCTGACAACTGACATGTCAAACTGTTCAGTCAAAACGTTTCCAGTAAACTGGCTGTACAGTGCTAAAGATTTGATTCTGTTTATTTTTTCATAAATATACTGAAGAAGAAACAAGTTCTTTAAATAATCGTGTAAGTACTGTTATTGTCAGACTTTTGGACCCATTTTGACCCCGTAGTTCTTCCTGTGTTTCCTTATTTGGTCATGTTCCTTTTCTCATTTAGTTTGATTTAGATTCCTTGCACCTGTATTAAGTAATTACCCCTTGTATTTAAGTTCCTGTTTGTTCAGTCTGCCTTTGTCGGGTCTACTCATTGCTATCTCGTTGTGTTCGTTCATCTCCTATGTTGGATTATCCTGGTGTTTTGTCATTAAAGACTGTGAGCTATTTCATGCCTCCTGCGTGCTACCTGCATAGACACATTGTGACAGTTATATGTGTGTCTATGTGCTCTGGCATGTTTTATCAAGATTTAGATTCCTTGCACCTGTGTTAAGTAATTACCCCTTGTATTTAAGTTCCTGTTTGTTCAGTCTGCCTTTGTCGGGTCTACTCCATTGCTATCTCGTTGTGTTCGTTCATCTCCTATGTTGGATTATCCTGGTGTTTTGTCATTAAAGACTGTGAGCTATTTCATGCCTCCTGCGTGCTACCTGCATAGACACATTGTGACAGTTATATGTGTGTCTATGTGCTCTGGCATGTTTTATCAAATAGATGTCACTTCCCTCACGAAATATATGAACAAGGTTAATTATATTAATTCCTTACAGTCAGTAGGGTGTTTGTTTAGTGTTGAGAATGGAAAAGTCACCCAACAAAACAAATACTGTGACAGTGAATAAACTAAATCCCTATACCGTAGCAAGTCGATAAACTTGTTTATATCCTGACAAGGTCGGGTACAAATTAGTGGCGTATTTTTTAAATCTTTTGAGAGCAAGTGCCAAGATGTACAATGGCTCACAATTGTATTATCACTTGAGGAATATCATTTTAACAAAGGGAGTAAGCTGACAGACAAGTCAGCTTTAGTATATTCCTTAGCTGAGCATAATCAACTTAAGCTCGAAAAAATGGTCTTGGAAAAGGAAGTCATTTAAAGTGAACTTTGTGTTCAGTGCTCCAGTCAGTACCGTTGAGAAGAATTGACTAATTATTTCATTAATGATCCTCCTCTTCTTTACTTTTCCTTTTTACTGCACCTACCCAACATATTTTGACAGTCCTGTCTATCATAAGAGATCAGAGACCTGCTGTGAACTGCTCTACAGGCAGATTTGGATCTGTCTTTTAGGGAATTACTGCAGTGTTTTCTCCTTTAGTTAGTTTGTTCGCATAAAAATCATGATTGGCTCTCATTAAGATCCAGCACATCTCACAATGTGACGTATTCACTGTGTCAGATCAACTTTCAAAGGCTTTCTTCACCTCATACTTTTAGGAAATCCCACATCAAAGGCGATCACACTCTAAAATGTCAGATTTCAACCTAGAAATTCAAGAGCATCAAAAAAAGAAAAAAAAAGAAATGAAGCCTGAAAATTGCAAGCTAAGTTTGTGCTTCTTGCTTAATTGAATGTACAATATCCAGCAGGCAGGGCCGTCGCTAGTGGGGTGAAAGGTGGTGATGATTATAGGGACACACGGCTGTGAAGTTCAAGGATTTTACATTTGATTATTCGGTTTCTGTACACTCTAAAAAATGCTGTTTTGTTTCAACCCAACTTTGGGTCAAATATGGACTAACCCAACCATTGAGTTAAATTTTTATATTAAAATTTTAACCCAAAAGTTGGGTTCCCCTTCAGGAACTTGAGCTGCGTCGGAAAACGCTTTGGGAGCGCCTTCAGCGTGACCACGCTCTGAATCACATGTAAAATCAGTCCAATGGAAGGGCGAGACGTCACAGGCGGGGGACGTAGAGACCAGGAAGCTATAAAAGCACGTGCGGTGGAACCGGCGTCAGCTTTCTGTCATTCAGCAAGCGCTCTGTCCGTGTGGCAGTCGCTATTTGTTGTGAGTCTTATTTAGTGTTGTTTGTCCACTTATAAGCTCCATTATGTCAAAGCTTCAGCCAAGAAGAAGCATTTGGGTGGGGAGCGGTCATGAGTGGCCTCTCGGCCCACGTCTGTGGAGTGGTCGCCATCTCATGTGGCACATCAACTGCCTGGAGATGCTGGCGAACGAGTAGCCTCGTTCTGGCCAGTCCGAGTATGGTTCTCAGACCTGAATTCCCTTCTCGACGGCTCTCCATGGGAGATTTCCGTCAGGAGGGATCTCCTCTCACAGGCGGAGGGTACGATCTTTCACCCCTGTCCTGGGCTGTGGAAGCCGTGGGTGTGGCCTCTGAGGGGGCACAACTCGTAGCTTCCGGTCTCTCAACCGAGGTTGTTGAGACCATCCTCCAATCCAGAGCTCCCTCTACGAGGAAACTGTATGCCCTGAAGTGGAAGTTTCACTTCTTGGTACAGTGCTGGAGTTCTTGCAGGCCCAATTCTCTGCAGGGCTGACCCACTCCACCTTCAAAACCTACGTGGCAGCTGTTGCGACCTACCAATTGCGACTCGCACCTATCGGTGGCCAGTCAGTGGGCAGACACCCCCTAGTTACACGTTTCCTCCACGGTGCGCTGAGGCTGAGGCCTCTGGTCAGAGAAGCTTATGCTAAGCAGTGGATCAGGATGCTATTCCATAGCCTCAAGTCCTCTGATCTCCCCTCTCCTTTGGGGGTCAAGGCTCACTCCTTCTGAAGTTGGCCTTTGGGTGGGATGTGTGTGTTTTATATACATATGCACATACTCTCATGAATGCAGTGAAAGCAGAGAGCAGATTGTCAGTGAGGCTGCAGTGTACTGCCAGAGATTTCCCACTGTTAGAGCTGTTTTCTATCACTGACCGCCTCTGTACACCAAAAACAGATGACGGCTGGCAAACACTTCTCAGGAAGCTTCTGGACACCAGTGAGAGTATGAGTTTCTCTTTGCCTCTACCTCTGTCACTGTGTCCATCTCACTCACTCACTCTCTCTCTCTCTATACTGTATGTTGAGGCCTGCTGTGAGACAGAGGCCAGGTACACACTCCAGCTAAATTCGGTTGCCAGTTCACCTTTTACTCCTTAATCGCGTTCTGTACACACATAATTTACTAAAATATGAGAGTGACAACCGCAATCGACAACCGCATTAACTCCCGAAAAATACAGGTAGTGACAACCGCATTTACAGAAATTCTATGCAGTGTGTACGGAACCAAACTGAAAAACTTGTTGTAAATGATGATGTCACGAGAAGCACGCCAATGTCCATGAATTCTCAGGCGTCAAGTGTTTACCTCGGATCTGACAGGATGGTGGAGAGAGGTGCATTGTGGGCCTAGCAGTTGTGGTCAAGAGAGTGTAGGCTGTTCAATAAAAAGAGTTTAAAGACCAAAGTTAGATTATGATGCCTCTGATACCACACTGATTCATTCAGAAATAAAACAAGTGAGTCATTGAATTATTTGTTCAACCGGTTCATTCATAAACAGGATTTATTCTATACAGATTGATTCAGGTTCAGCTCTGTTGTGCGTTGCTGCAGGGGACCCCCAAGCAGTAGTGGATGAAGTACACATATCAAGTACTTGAGTAAAAGTGCAGATACCCCAATAAAATATTACTCCAGTAGAAGTTTTAAGTACTCTAACAGTACAGATGTATTGGATTTTTAATGTACTTAAGTATTAAAAGTAAAAAGTACTGATCAACCAATGTGTAGTTAGTAATTTTAACGTAGATACTTTCATGTTGTGTGTGAAGTGTGAAAAGTCTGATATTATGCTTTGGAATGTAGTGAAGTAAAAGTTTCTCAAAATGAAAATACTCAGACAAAGTACAGATACTTCAAAAATGTACTTCAGTACAGTGATGAAGTAAAACAGAAAAGGGCTGTGGCCTTCCATTTGCCAAAAATTTCAACACACATAAGGTTCTTTTAGTTTTGGATCCAACTGTCTACAGGTGGGAATTCAAAAATCCATGACTTTTTGTACTTTTTGATTTGTACTTTTAACAAAACCCCTGGAGCTGTCAAAAGTCTGCCGGATGATTCAAAATGACACATTTTGCATCATCCCGCAAACTTTTGCTGACAAATAAACAGGGATATCTGAGTGCAGGTAACATGGAGAAAGAGTACACATTGTGTGTTTTCATATACTAACATATTAGCAATACAACGTTGGTTGAAAATTGCCAAACTTATCCTTTAACTATCTATTGAACTATTAAACTGTTGCATAAAAGAAAGTCATAAACACTTGCACATATGTGACCCTGGATCACAAAACCAGTCTTAATTCGCTGGGGTATATTTGTAGGAATAGCCAAAAATACATTGTATGGATCTCGGCCAAATATTGTCCTGTCCTAACAAACCATACATCAATGGAAAGCTTATTTATTCAGCTTGCAGATGATGTATAAATCTCAAATTCGAAAAATTGACCCTTATGACTGGTTTTGTGGTCCAGGGTCACATATGATATTTGTTCATTATTGTACAAATTTGAAATACTTTAATCTGTATCCTTAGATATATGAAAAATAAATCAATTTTGCATACACTATAAGCCGATACATGTAAATCCCAGCAACAAGTACTTCTGATTTTCTTGGTTGACCCTCTGTGCAGCTAATTTGAAACACAAGAGCAAAGCTGTCTAATCCTATATTCTCTGAGACAGTCTAATTTAGCTTTTGACTCAACCAGAGACTGACTGAATTCACTGAGTATTGCATCATGATTGACGATGCTCTTTCATCAGCATTATCTTAAAAACTTTAGCTGTCAGCAAAACCACACCGATCTCATTGATGCAACACAGCAGCATCCTTCAATCAAACAACAAAACGCAAAAAGCTTCTGAATCCAGTACATCAAAGCATCATATTTCACATCTCTTCAGCTTGACCATGTATAATTGTCCGGTGCGGCCCACAGGTTTGACAGGCTGATGGAATTATGCTTGACAGGTTTGAGGACCCTGTTGAACGCTGGTCTGTAGTGTCAGTGACAGCACGTCTAAAAAGGAGCATCTCTCCTCATGGACAGATCATTTTATTTATATAACCTAATAATATTCATCATGTCTAATGGACATGATTAATTTGAAATGTTCCAGGAAGTGAAGTGTGCAAAGAGGAACTAATAGCCTCTTAAACAGAAGCCTTTATGATGTGAAATCTATTCATTTCTCTCCTCATTAGGTAAATTAGATGTATATGGTCCACTGAACATGTGAGTGCTCCGGGTCTATGTTTGTATATTTAAAAATAAAGAATGTTGGAGAGAGAAAGGAAGACACTTTTGGTTGTTTCAGTTCTCAGTCCCACGCTCCTATAAGACTTGGACCCCCCCAAGAAAAACTAAAAAATAAATAAATGTGCTTCAATGATTTGCTAAATATTGTCAAGTTATTGCTCTTCTTAACTTTTATCTTGTTTAGATGATGAATTTTTAATTTCTTATTTATGTATTTTTATTTTTCATCAGTGAAACACACGTGAGAATAGACAGGAGTGAGAGAGGGGTGGGTTTGATTGGGACTTAACCCAGATCTTTTTAATGAAAAAAAGTAATTGCTCATAATTTTGAGTTATGCGGTATGTTACCCCATGCTTACCTTTGTACTAAACATTTAAAACAAACTAGCGGTTAAATTTGACACTTATTATAAAACAACATAAAAGTTAAAGGGTTATTTGTTCACCTAAAAATGAAAATGTTAATCTTTTACTCGCCCTCATGTTGTTCCAAACCCATGAGACTTTCTTTCATCTTCAAAACATAAATGAAGATATTTTAATGAAGCCTGAGAGATTTCTGTCCCTCCTTTGAAAGTGTCATGCAAGCACGTTTGAGCTTCAGCAAGAACCAGTGAAGTTCTTGCATGTCAAGCATTTAAGGTTCAGCTTCTGTTTAACATATTTGATGAGCTTTATGCCTTTATGCTTTATGCCTTGATCAGTGTTTATATGTTAAACAGCCAAGTTCAAAATTTGATTGTCATAGTTTTTGGTGAATGGACTTTCAATGGAGAGACAGACATTTCAGACAGCATGTTTATTCTGTGCCTCTTGCTCTCGTCACTAAGCGTTTCCATTTCAGTCTACTCAGAACAGTTCTCTAATCGTTCCCTGGGGATGTTTGCAGTGGCACTTAGCAGTCCACAGTTGCCAGCAGAATGAATAATGGTCCAGTTATCCAGACATCATTAATGTTTTAATAATTTTCAAAGACAGATGAGTATATCACACACATGAGCTCCCAGAGTGCATTCTGAATGTTTCACCCAAATGGCACCTAAAATTCAGATGACTAGTCTCTGTTATTTATTGATCCCTCTCTCTTCTTCCATCTTTCTTTCTGGCTCTCCATCTATTTTCTCACCATGTTTAGGTTGGAGCCGGAAACAAGACCGCTGTCAGCGGGAAGACTTGTACCCTCTGGTGGAGTCCGAGCCCTGTCCGTGTGAGGAGTTTGTTTCTCAGCCATATGGTAATTGGACGTCTTGTATCCTATCGGAGACCCCAGCACAAGGATCCCTCCAGGGATGGAGGGGTCAGCAAGAGGCGCGTGACTGCGGTCAGGGATTGCGTTATCGTGCTGTGGTCTGTCTGGACCACGAAGCCCACCTGGTTAGCCCAGACCGCTGCAGTGAATCAGGTTCGTCTACTCATTTCTACCTCCTTTTTCTCTCGTTCTCTCTCTCAGTAAAGAGCCAAGTAATTTTTCCTCCGCTGGGAAGGCAAGCAGTCATTAGTCATATAGGAAGCTGTGGGGTGCCCTGAACTGTCAGTGTAAATTAGACTGAGGTCTCAGCATCGGCACCAGGTGTTTCCACTAACGTTGTTAGCGTGATGTTGAATGGCAGGGGCTCGGCCGCTCTGATTGCTCGACATGCTCTTTCGCAGGTCTGGTGGAGGAGGTCTGCCACATACCCTGCCCTCTGGACTGCAAGCTGAGCGACTGGTCGCCGTGGTCGGCCTGCAGCGCCTCCTGTGGTAGCGGGCTGAAAATCAGGTCCAAATGGCTACGGGAGAAGTCATTCAACGGCGGGCGGCCATGCCCCAAACTAGACCTGAAGAATCAGGTGAGATGTGCGGTCCCAGTAGGGAAATAGTATCTCTGTGGGCTTCCACCACCATATGGTGGATCATCAGTGAGAAGCGAGTAATGAGAATCATTAGGGTCTATGATCGCAGGCATCATGATTCAGATAATCGCTCATGTAAACTGTTTCATTTAGGGCCTTTAACACATCTGTTTTTATTGAATGCCTGAAATATCCCCAACGGAATATATTTAAGCCGCCTAGAGAAACATTTAGCATTTTCAGCACGGTTAACATTCAACTCATTACCATTTCACCGGTTAATGCATGCCTCTTCATTAAGTGCAGTTTACCGAATGTACTTTAGCCTCGAAGCTAAAATATGAACAAACACAATCTCCTCATCCTTTAAATAGTTCATCTCTCACAGCGAGACAACACAAAGGTGCTAACAAGTGTCCATGTAAATACTGTTCCTGATTGCTGTAGATTTGTGCTCTTTGCAGAAAAACATGCCCATTAGCGCAGACTATTTTTTTGTGATCTCTCCTCTCCTCCTTTCACTGTCAGCTAGTTGAGACAGTTTGTACAAGTGTGTTAAACGCTGTCTACCAGTCTTTATCTCGCTAAAGCACACATATGGGTCGCATATTTTTCGATCTTGGTGATAGAAATGCTTATTTGGTCATTAATGATGTGCTTTATGCATGAGTAAGGGCATTGTTTGAGTCTGAATTAGACATCACCGCATCTGCAGAAAACGAAATAATAGCATAAAGAAGGTACATTCGTCTATGAGTACATTTGCGACAGCTTGTTCCCAGATGGGTCTTGCTCTTATAAATGTGCTGTGTGTGCTGGAATGGGCTGCAGAGGACACACTGGTTTCTAGAGGTCAGTATGCAGATGAGGCAATGTGCGTGAAAAATATTCAAATGCATTCTTTTGCTGCTGTGTGTACAGATGGTTAAGTGCCTACTAACAACTTTTATGGACCCACTGTTTAACAGGACTCAAAATACCCCTTTGCTAAAGGCAGAGTTTGCCTTGGCTAATGCCCCCTCCAATCTTTTGGGGAGATGAACTCTCACTGTTAACATTTTGCAAACGACCGCTCTGTGGTCTTGGCAGAGAGGCTGTGCAGCTGGCGGTTTTTGAAGCGGCCCACACTGCAAAGGTGTGGAGATTGAGATTTTTTTCATAAGTATAGTAGAAAGTCACCACCAAAGCCACAGTGGATTTGTGTGTGTGAATGTGTTTGAGTTTGAGAGAGACCCTGATGAAAATTGTGTCACTCTGAGGATGCCCTCTTATAGCTCAGAAGCCTTAATGGAGTTCTCAGAAGGGTTTGATGGGAAATGTTGGAGTTCATATTGAAATCTCAGAATTTTGAATGCAGTCTTTGGTATCTTGATATATCTGAGCACATTTATTGGTTGAAACTGTTCTGATACTGAAACATTAGAGAAGACGAAATTTTTTTCTTTACACTTTCATGCATTTGGCAGAAGCTTTTATGCGAAGTGACAGCATTCAATATAACATTTCATCAGTTCATGCATTCCTTGGGAATCGAACCCATAACCTTGGTGTTGCAGCACAACTCTCCACTTGCTCTTTATTTAATCTGAATAGTGATACAATTGAATAGTGTCAAAAATTGAAAAAAAAAAATTTGCTGAAAGTAATTTTCAGATGCAACGGGGGAAAAAACGGGATAAACACAAACATGAAACTTGTAAATAAAATAATCTGATATATAGCCTATGTACAATTTAATAACATATAGCCTAGTTTGATATATGAATTGGGTGTTCGTCAAAGATTGCATGCAGTCGGAGATTCCCGTGTTTACAGCTCCGTAAAAGAACCTACTGGAAGCTCTGTAGTTTTGAGGTATAGGCCTATAGATAAAAATATTAAAATTACAAACACACAATAAAAACTATTAGCTTTATTTGGTAAAATAGGCTTTGTAGTTCACGCGCGTTCCAGTATCGACAGAAAAATATCATAATGAGCAAAAATATTCCACAGTAGACCGGTGCTCACGCCGAACGGCATGGTGAACAGCTGCGCTGTTTCCAATGAATGCAGTAGCTTAGTGTATGCGTGAGGCGCCGGCGCGATCAAACAGCTGAAACATAAAATAGACTACTTCCTCATTTTTGGTCATACAGTAAAGGCATAATTCGAAACTGCAAAGTGCAAAGTGTTTGCAGTTTGAAAATTCAAGAATAATAGCAAAGTTAATAAGAATTCTTTCTAAATGCAGCACCGTTCTTATTTCGCTCTGCATAACCTGAAGGAAAAAAAAATTTTTTTGCTAAGAACGAACCGAAATGAAAACATTTCGCTTTTAATCTGTGCCAGGGCAGTCACCGACTAAAATCAGGGCGCCCACTACGGAGACGGCACCAGAGGTGAGGGGGCACAGTGGGCACAGTGACCGGGCCGGGCCCCCTCAGCCCCCCCCCCGTGGCACCGACGCTGCATGTGTTACATGACATTTTTGTTTAAAATAACCTTTCACTATTTGTGGCATCCACATGTTATGTGTGTGCAAAAAATTATTATCATTATAAATGAATCAGTATTAATGTGAGAATAAACGTTTTAATGCACAACTGGGAAGCCTTAATTTGCAATTGTGCAGAAATTCTGTCCACATTATGCTTCTCTAGACTCAAACATCACCTCTTTTTCTTTTTAGATGTTCAGCACATTGTCCGTCTCCAGAAAATGTTTAATGGCTAAATGTTGTACATCCCTAAATCGAATCCCTTCTAGGACATTGACTGACAAACCTTTGACCTCCAAATGTGATAATAACATGTTGTGCTTGATATTAAAGACAAACAATTTATAAATGTTAACATTTATTATCATTTTATGTGTCATACATTTATTTTATTCTCTGATTCCTAGGGATTTTCTATTCTAAGGGCTGGAGAGTAAGTCAGGGAGTATAAGAAAAGCAGAGTGAGTGTCTTTGTGTTGAAACTACTGGTCCAAGAAGAATCGAAAACCTTATTAGTGGAGTTTATGGATCAGAGAGGCATGCTGAAAGCATTCAAAGTGTAATTCAAGACTGGCAAACATTTTCCTAAAAAATCAGGTTGTGCACTATCAACACTTTAATTGACATTTCAGTATTGTCACATCAAATGCATTCTTTTGCAGCAGATCAGATCACATGTCTGTAGGTGGCTTTGATGTCGTATTCTCTTTAAGTAAATTGTTTGGAGCGGGACTAGGTAAGGAAACTTTGTTAACATGCAGCGTTGGCTTGTTATGTGTCTTTGATAATCTGTCTCTGGCTGTCTGGCCCCTACCTTTAACAAGCAATCCGCACTTTCCCCAGTGCGGCTTTCTGCCGTGAGTCAAAGAGCAGGGCAGCGCTCGGTATTCATTCATTATTTAGACTTTCAGGTATTACAGGCTCGGAGAGGCCTGTCACAATCACTAGAGTTCCTGCTCCCTTCCGGACTATTAAACAGCTGACCATCTTCAAGACCAGAGCTGTCTTTCCACCACTTATCTATTGATGGGCTGTCTGACATGCTCACCCTATAAGGACATAACACGGGTGTAGGGCTGCAGCGCCTTCTTCCTGTCACCCATAGCTTTTAGCGAGAACCCAACACTCTAGTTTTCCTTTCTCCTTCCTGGGAGGATAACTTATATAAGCAGTGTTACAGCTTACCACACGTCAATCGAAGAGCATTCCATCTCATTATCCCGATAAATGCTGATGATTCTGACTGTCTTTGCCCTGTAATTGTCTGCCATCAGCCGTGCTAAATGGGAGACGGGATGATGCGCAACCTTCTCCAGATGTTTCCTCTTGCACCATTCCCCACAGTGAGTCACTCGACAAGAGATGAGATTGATATTCTTATCTCGCCTCCTCATGCTGTACAGATGATCAGCCACTGTGACGGAAGCGGGAGGAGGTTGTGCATGAAGGGATTGTGCACATCCCTATGCTGTGTCTTACTATTGATCTGTAAATTGAACTGTGCAGGAACTGGCTACATTAGTGCCACATGCTCCTGATTCTGAAAAAACACCTTAAACAAGAGTCTGATGGGTTTAGCTATTGTTTTATAGGGATGCCATCATGTGTTAAAGGGATAGTTCACCCAAAAAGGAAAATTCTGTCATTAATTACACACCCTCATTGCGTTCATTCATCTTTGAAACACAAATTAAGATATTTGTGATGAAATCCGAGAGCTTTCTGCCACTACGGAGCACCAGAGGTGAGGGGGCACAGCGACCGAAGTAGCCGGGCCGGGCCCCCTCAGCCCCCCCCCGTGGCGCCGACGCTGCATGTGTTACATGACATTTTTGTTTAAAATAACCTTTCACTATTTGTGGCATCCACATGTTATGTGTGTGCAAAAAATTATTATCATTATAAATGAATCAGTATTAATGTGAGAATAAACGTTTTAATGCACAACTGGGAAGCCTTAATTTGCAATTGTGCAGAAATTCTGTCCACATTATGCTTCTCTAGACTCAAACATCACCTCTTTTTCTTTTTAGATGTTCAGCACATTGTCCGTCTCCAGAAAATGTTTAATGGCTAAATGTTGTACATCCCTAAATCGAATCCCTTCTAGGACATTGACTGACAAACCTTTGACCTCCAAATGTGATAATAACATGTTGTGCTTGATATTAAAGACAAACAATTTATAAATGTTAACATTTATTATCATTTTATGTGTCATACATTTATTTTATTCTCTGATTCCTAGGGATTTTCTATTCTAAGGGCTGGAGAGTAAGTCAGGGAGTATAAGAAAAGCAGAGTGAGTGTCTTTGTGTTGAAACTACTGGTCCAAGAAGAATCGAAAACCTTATTAGTGGAGTTTATGGATCAGAGAGGCATGCTGAAAGCATTCAAAGTGTAATTCAAGACTGGCAAACATTTTCCTAAAAAATCAGGTTGTGCACTATCAACACTTTAATTGACATTTCAGTATTGTCACATCAAATGCATTCTTTTGCAGCAGATCAGATCACAT